TACTACTTTAGCGTTTTGTTCAATCGAACTCGCGTCTTTGGCTCCGCTCCAAAAACAGACTGAGAATACAAACAGGAATTTAACGAACCAAAGGACTAGCTCCTGTTGAACACAAGTTGACACTCTTCTTCGAAATGACAATACTTTTAACCTCAAAGACAGAACCAGCGAAGTGGTTTTTGTCTGAATGTTCCCTTAACACACTCTGGCGAGCACAGCATAAATTCAGAGCAGACGAATATCAAGCCACGCGATCCGAGCTCAGACAACATCAATCGATCGATATCATTGTTTACGACATTCCATCAAATGTAGTCTGAATAACATTCAATTCATCAGAAAAGGCGAAAAGGCAAAGTGTGACTGAGACAGGTGTCAAAAATGAGAACGGAATATTACAGCGAAAATGTACAAATAAAAAATGATACATATCGGGCTCACACGTCGATGTTTGAGCGTCGTGCCCATCATCTTACGTTTATATATACCACTGAGAGTGTACCACATCTTCACTGAGCATGCTACAATCCCACGATACTGGTATCGGTCAAGAGTTACTCGCTTTTGAGCTTAGAACCAGCGACAGAAGCATATCCTCAGAATAAATCTCAGCAACTGAGGGAAACCAACGAAGACTAAAACCATTATGTGGTTTTGTTATTTTTTGAGAGGCAATCACAGAATAAGCATCGGGAGGACTCTCTCTACTCACCACCACTAAACGAGGCATTGTGTCCGTGGGAAGACCAGAAACAACACACACAGATCACTCCATTGGAGGCAGATTTTCAGCAACAAACGTCAGTTTCCAAACCTCGTGCATATTCAAGCAACCGTCAATCAAGCACAGCTTTCATACCTGTAGCAGTTAATTTGAGAAGAAAAATAGCCATTTTGACAGAAAAATAGAGACGGCAGATTGTCAAAAGTTGGGCGGGTGAGGCAAATCGATCGATAATATGAGCGCCACTTTACACGAGTCTTGGAGCTGCCCTCAAATGTCTACAGTCGTATATTAGGCCAGCACCGCGAACTCCGACTAGCAGGTATTTCTAATGAGACACAAAGACGATAGAATCCTAAAGAGATGATGAGTGAGCAGTACTCTGTGACAAATCTAAGGCCACAGAAAACCTTATGCAGCTTCAGTGCTACCGAAGTTATGTCACCTTGAAGTGAATTAATGGATTTATCGGGTGGATCAGCCATATTTCTATTACCATATTGCATTGATCGGTTGGACGGTCAGGGGCTATAACCGGGTTGGTGAACCATTGGCAGTTCACCTAGGGGAGTTGGCCAAAATCCCTGATTCCAAACCAACCAAGAGGAGGCGTACGAACCACACCCACACCTTTCCAGTTGTGGCAATGGTCACCGGTTCGATTGGGCATCGAGGTGTATTGGGCACCTTGGACGTTTGACCCCGTCCGACACCCGCCCCCAATGGACTACGGTTTTCGCACACCGCCCCGCTGCCTTGCGGGTCAGGCTTTGGTTAGCCAAAGGCTCCAGTTGTGGATTCCCCAAAAAAATTCACCTGCCTTGGCCTGGGCAACCTGGCAGTATTCGGTCCACTTGCAAATCGTGGAGCGTTTTTCTTTTTATAAAGATTATTGTACCACGATTTGTTTGGCACAGTCTGGCATCAGGCGCATGTGAAATATATATATATATATATATGGTTAGGGTTTTTCGACATAAACGCCTATTTCAATTAGTACTAGGACAAAGAAAAACAGTAATAGGAAGGTCCAAAAAGCAAGCTGTTGTAAATATTTAAAAAAAACGGATATTCAACAGAGTATTTACCTCAGCCAAATGTCTTTCAATTTGCTCCACAGATACTCCGCGGAGCTTAGCTTCATCCCATGTGGTGGATAGTCCGTCAATTCGATTCGGCGGTGGAGCCCGAGTCCAACGGGTATAATCACTCAACGGTCTCGGTCTCCAACCTGTTACAAGGCAAACAGGTGTGCCAGTGCTCGGTGACCGGTTTACGATATTGGACTTGTCTGTGCCTTCCAAGCTACCACGTAGATAATTCCACAGAGCTAGCATTAGCTTCGGATCATGTGGCAATGTCGGAGACTCATCACCCCATGGGTAAGTTAGCGCCAAATTAGCCCTGGTTTCCACTGGGACCGGTTGCGGAATAAACTTGCTCTCACCAAGTGTCTGAGCAATCGAAGTGGTGACATCATACACCAAATCCGTTGTGCCGAATGGAGTTCGCATTGGAGAACCGCTGTTATTATCGGCAGTGGATCCTATCGTGAAAAAGATCAGAAGTGAAAGAATTAGGCTATGCATCGCTCAAACCGTTGAGCGATTTAAGTATCAAATGGGAACAACGCGGGAGTACACAATCATGGAACCGGGCAATTATTAGAAAAACGAAATTAAAATGTTACCTTCATCCGCGAGCTTTGGTTAACCACGGTGTCGAAACTTGTTTATCTGATTTTTTACAATCCAGTGTTGTGTTCACTCTTTCGCTTTGAATTTGAAGAAAACCAATTGTTCCAACCAATTGTTTCGATCATCACTCTTACTGGCTGGTATCCGACTTTCATTATCATTATACGGCGGAATACAATGCAAT